TGAGCCAAAGCAAAAGGAAATATCTGGAGGGCACTGTAGTATCCAAAGTGGGATTGAATGCAAAAATGGGACAGACATGAGCCAATTTTAGTTGGTGCATCCAAAGACTTCTAAGTTACACAAACATAGACTAGCATCCCAACTCTGTTTACCCCCTGAAATACACAAACGCATATTATATAGTACATACTACTACATCTAACAGGAAACAATGTATCTTCGAAACTAGAAATAGGACATTTATTCATGGCCAAGTTGTTATGGCCAAAGTGTCATGGGAATCCATCCAAAATGTTGTGGGTCAGTCAATGCACAAATATCAACCTCATTATGAGATATTTAATTATGAACATAGTGGTGGACTAAAGACTAACTGACTGACACTGCCATCCACAGTTATATTGCTATAGTAAGGCCACTACCAGGTAATAGTAGTTCATGTTGGCAAACATTAGGCTGATAGTTCTCTGATTCCACTGCTTGTGATACACTACTGTTGCACCATGTTTTAACATTTACTATTATTTCATTATTGCGACTTGTGGGCATAATATAGTTTACAAATGAATTGCTAAACTATGGAGTATCTAGACATGTAAGCCACAGTTTTTATATCCCAGCTAGCACATTTTGGAGGCCAAATGTTCCTCATTTCCTTATTCAGTTGCTGTTGCCCACCCACCATCACCACATCTGAGATGTTCATATCACTACTCAATAGCCCAGTTTACCCACAGTCCTGGCTTTTTCATGTAATGTGACACTACAGAGATCAATAAAACATTCACAAGTTGAAATCTGTCGATTTTCTTAGCATCTTGCTGAGTCTGCCTCCCGACTATAGCAGTATGACAATTTTAGAAGGATACCGAGTGGGCGGTTATGAACATGCACCCCTATACATGTAGAGTAATGAGAAAATGACTTGTATTGAGTGAATTTAATGGCAAAACTTTCACATTAGATCACCGGAAACAGCAGCTCTAAGTCAAGTCAGAAAAAACCCACTAAATGCAGGTTTTTTTTGAATGTATGCATCTAGTACCACGAGGGAATTTTCCATCTGACTTTTGACTACAACATTGTGAAAACACAATACAATAATAAAAAAAAACCTATTTAATATGCCTATGTACTGTATCCTATATATTTATACTCCTCACATGGTTGTGTGATAGTGATGGTGGTAGTACACTGCTTTTACAGTGTCACTAAAACTGCCAGCCAAACATTAAATCACAGCATTGGGGGCAATAAAACAGAATTATCTAAAGTTTGTTGTAAGCTTCAAGATAATTGAAGATTTGACGCCAAAACTGATCTAAATGCTTATAACCGTGCAGCATGCTTTTAAGACTCATTATGGTTTAATTGCTTTCATTTCATTAGCCGCCCAGAGAAGTTCAACATAAATTTATTGGCATGTTCCATGCCCTATTAGCACTTAAAGGGGGCCCTCGGTAATCTGCTTCCTCTATCAAACTTTATTTGTCATGAGCAACGAAACTGCGACACAATCGTTGTGTTGTACGCTTCACAGAAGAGAGGAGCGAGATTATTTAAGGTGAAATACAACAGAAATGCAGGCATAATAGCACTGCTCTACTTTGCTTTTTGTCTGGAGAAAAGGCTTTTTAGCCTTCATGGTTGAGCAATCACTGAATCACCAGTATTGATCAACAACTCTTATTGACCCCCATCAGGACATTTTGTTCTATGGGGCACTAAAAGTATTACTTGTTGGTCTTTAAAAATAGAAATGATGCCAGTAAAACATCATACACAATAACATCGTCTGCCAGAGACCTGATGTTGTCATATTTTGCTTATTTTCTCAAATGTTTCCCGTTCAGTGCTGTGTACAGGGAAGATGACACTGAGCAATCGGCCACTTGAACTGAAATTAAATTCCCTGTGTGTTTTCTTTTATTGTTATACTGTACCTATAAAGTCAGCCTCTTGTTTATTTTAGTTGAATGGCAGCCAGGAGGCATAGGCCAAACATGGTAGCAGACCCTGGGGAGGAGCATGGCGGAGCACAAGTCAACTAATAAAATTACTGGCACTGGCCACCCCCAGAAACTCATTGGCCATTCCTGGTGCCTCTGATCTGATCCTTGTCAGTACTAATGAATGAAAAATAATAATAAAAAAAAGACAAATTGTTTATTTTATATCATGCATGCAGCATGATATTTGCATTTATTTCTCTGATTGTGCTGTGGAGTACTTGGCCTGATTCCCCTCAGTGGGGGAACCACTGTGCAGCAGTCACGTCTTCGATCCAAAATAAATAAGGAGTGTAGCTAAAGAAAGCGGGGTGTCATATTTTTACACAAAAAAAGCAATTTGTTTCTAAATAATGTATGATTTCTTATTTCATAGAACCAGAAGTTTAATTTACTTATTGCATGTATTTCAAATGTGCCACCTCTCTCTGAGTCTGCGCCTCAACCTGGACACCCCATCCAACATTTTCTAGATCCACCCCTGTGCATAGGTGAAATCATATCTATATTAGTCACTGGGCTGATTTGTCCAGCCCAGCACTTTCAGTGTCTGGTCAGTTTGTCTACTTTTTCAAATTCCTCTGCCATTCGCTCTGTGTTCCATCTGCCTTTTACTTTTTTACTCACACTGTGTCTGCCTCACATCTTCCTCTTTCCTCTCGTCTCCTCCACATCCTGCCCTCTGTCGGTTTGGCATTTATGAAATGTCTCTTCTCAGTCCCTACGATAATGAGGGCGTGATCGGGTGCTGAAAGAGGCTCATTTCACATCACTGTCAACATGTTCCTCAGCATTTTGAGGGACACTGTACAGTACATGGAAATGCCTGCTGATGTTCCTCTAATGAAATGAAAGTGATGTAAATGGGCATGTGACATTTACAGTACCATCTAAATATACAAAACAGTTTTTCATATGCTTAGATAAGGAATTGATTTTTCAGCCTGATTTTTTTATCTTTCTTTAGTGAAACTTGAATTAACCTTTACCTTTCTCCTTTTGATGTTGTCAAGGGTTTTTTTCTTTTTAAAAGCTGAATTGCTGAAAAAGTCCATACTGTGGAGTTTCTTCAGGATGTGAATTATTGATCCTTTGGGAGTCCAGAGAGCTGACATGCACTGATAAATAAATTGTCTCCAAAAACAAGGATTTTAAAGTCCCAAGGAACCCTGGGTATATGTTCAATTTCCACCATCATTTTAAAGTAGTGATTACTGAATGTACCTCGTGAATTTGCAAAAATTGTTTGATAATCACAAGATATGTGGTAACCCTTGTTTTCATTACAATGCAAGGTAGACATATAAGACATGTGGCATCTGTTATTTGAAAGCTAGACACATAGATTGTGATAACATACATGAAATATTGCCATCATTACTGGCCATCCAGCACAACTGACAGATGGCACCCATCTCAATATGGCCGTTGTTGTGCTATCTGGGTAGTGGCAGATTGAAATGTTAATGAGGCCTTTTGATCAACGGCAGCCCTGTCTGTCAAGCCAGCTTTTAAACCAAATGCTTTGCTTGTCCAGAAGATGAAAAATCAAGCCTCCAGTTCACTGACTTCATAGCTGAATTAAGAGATACAAACAGTTTTGTCTGTGCCTACTAGTGATTGGTTCCTCACCTCCTGCTGTGTCCAGGTATTGATTTAGTCTTGAAAGGAATGACAGAAGAAGGGCTTTGATAGAAAGGAAGGATTTGTTCTAGAAATCCCAAATGGAGATGAGTTTCAGAGGGGGGGAAAGGCATCATCAGCAAGAATAAAGCGTCAGCAAAGAGATTTCTGCCTGAAAGAGAAGCTGAACAGAGAGGAACTGCCAAAAGAGAAAAGAGTAAGATTGAGGAGGAAGGAATGAATATATTCATCTCAAGCTGAGAAGGAACAAAGAACAGATCTTTGTTTTTCAATCTCCACACTCACAATGAAGAGTATAACTTCATTATGACTGACAATAGAGACGGGGTTGAATGGCTCTAGCATGTCTCATTACGTGACTATCATGACTGCTGAAAGCATCCGCCTCACAGCGTTATTATGAGTGCTCATTGCAAATTGGACCTCGGTGTGAAATTTGTCAAACATGTCCCGGAATCCTTTTAAAGTATACATACATTGTAACATTACAATCTGAATATTTCAGTTACATTTCCTCAAGCAGAATGTGTTTCATTTGGAGTTGTTGTATATGCAGACTGTACTGTGCAGTATACACTGCCATCCTTCACTTAAGAGATTGTGATATGCACACTTATTTTTAATGAATAGGAGGGCAATGGCACGAACAAGTTATATAAATCAGTAACATATATATCCTTGTGGTTTGTTTTTACCATGTGCATTTTGAGCTCTCTGTGTGCTACTTTGTGCTTCTGTAACAAACACCATTAACTAGCACCATTAGACCCCCTCCTGCTTATTACATAAACAGCATACTGACTGCTCCCAAATGTTAAATGTTGAATATGGATCGCTAATAATACTATACTGTGCAGTATACACTGCCATCCTTCACTTAAGGATAAGTATACGTTGTTTGTAGCAGTAGGTTATTACGACGAACTGTTACTTGTTATTGTTGGTGACATTTAGTGACCATATTAATTATGACATGAGGAAAGAAATAAGCAATGTCACATATTATAAAGAGGCAAAGAGAAGGTTAATGGCTAGGTATACAAAACACAGAACTGTCCCTCAGCAGAGTTGAGTTAAATTCCTTTGTGGCTTGTTTTTCAAGAGATTTTGTTCAAAATGTAACATCGTGGCTTTGTTCCTAAGCGTGACCAAATAACCTTTGTGCCTAAACCTCATTTTTGTTTCCTAATAGTTTGTGTGGCAAAACATAATGAAAATGATGGTTTCATAATCATAACATCAGTAATTATGATAGTTTCCAAGATGTCGGCATACAAGTAGCTGCCTGCTAGCTAGCCATCAGGTGTTTGACAGTATGTGTACTTCTTTGTGCTTGTGTTCTTGCAGACTTGTAAAACGCCGTCAGTCACAGTACTGCTCCAATTCAAAGTCTGCATCCAGCCAAGTGTTCTTCCCCTGCCCATTTTGTCAAGGATGCTTTGGGAGCTGACTTGTATGGACTTGGGGCAGCCAGGTATCCCAGAATATCCTACATGATAGCTATTGGAGTTTGAGCCAGGATTAGAGCTGTCATTTTGTCCTAGGACTGATATTAATTGTTTTATAAAGTTCTGAAATTTCTTTCAGGCAAGAAAATAACTACTAAGATGAGCAGACCTGCTAGCTATAATTAGCAGGCAGCGACATCTTGTTCACAGAACTCTGTCAGCAATTCCATATTGAGAGTACTGCATCCTCCCATCCACAGGAGTTAGTACTTGAAGTTCAAACTTACCAAGTCCATATTCCCAAGCATGAGAGTCCAAACTTAATGTGCTAGGTATTGAAAAATGTACATTGTGTTGATGGCTGTTTCCATGACAGCAAAGGGCCATAAAACTTGGTAGTGCAACTCATGTTGTCGTTAATGTCGGTGGAATTGTTGCAATTTCTTCCTTGACCATAGGAGCACTATTTAAGGGGCTGTCCCTATGAATCGTATCGGGGGAAGGGACAAACCCCCTTATGGGTTTTATAGGTTGGAGGACTTGTTTGATAAATACAGAAATATGCACAATATCTATAATATCATTGTAGTTTTATTTTCCCGGCATTTCCAGGAAATATCTATTGTAAGTTAATACCTACATTTGTCAAATTTTCACAGTTTTACATAGATAAATTAAACAATACATAAGCTAGCTGTGTGCTCCTGCTGGATTTAGAAGCTGGATGTCAGATGAAAGATGAGGATGAGCATGTCACCGGGTCGCCAACTGGCATCGTATATCATTGAATTAAACCAACGACAACCCCCAAGGGTGCAGTTGTACACTCTGCTACCCCAGAGGCGCTGCTGTCCCTGCTTGTTAGACCTAAACTCGTCCACGCCTACACTGCACCAAATCACCTAATTGTAGCAATATTTTATCATTAATTGAAAGACTCGACACTGTCCTGCAGGTTCAAAAATGTATACAGCCTCTGGCTTATGAAACCCTGTCAAAAACCGGCTAAGATGGTTCCTGCAGTGAAAAATACAGTAAGTGAGAAGGCAGCATATCATACTAGACTGAGCAAAAATGTATTTATTTTGGCTGTGCCTGTTAGAGGTCACCACAGCATAATTATGGTCTGCATATATGATTTGGCACTTTTTAACACCGAATACCCTTCCTGATGCAATCCTACCATTTAATTTGGGACCGGTGTTGCATAAAAGTGTTTCCCCTAACCTTATCTTAACCATAACCACCAAGGGGGCACTAGGTGACAGGGGAACACATGAGACGGGTTGTAGTGCCCTGCCTTGTTGAACAAATCTGCCGCACCGCCTGTGTGGCAGATGAAAATTACACCACTCGAAGCAAAGAAATAACAACCTTATTTTACCTCTTCAACAGTGTTAGTAGGTGGGTTATTAGGAACAAAACTGCACCAAGTGCCCTTGACTGCACATCTAACGTCACAACACGAGATATGCAATGTTTCATTTAACTTGCTGTGCTCTCCTCATTAACCATGTTAGACTCTGAGATGGTCTCTGGTGGCCTAATAGCTGCAATTAGCTAAAGAGCTGCTCTGTAGCACAAGTATGACACCCAGACCTTGCTTCACACACACTAACGCATGCAACGTGTGCACACACACACATTGGAAACCTGTCAGAGGGAATTGTGGCCCTGGTGTATTGAGTGAGACTAAGATGGAGGGAAGGAAGAACGCAGTAGGCAAAGGCAGAGTTTCTTTTGTATTTGCTAATAATGTTGGGCTGTGGGTGCCAGACTCGATTTTATTGGCTGTCAAGAAAAGGACCACTGGGCCTGGATTAACACTAAGGTAGAAGAAATGGGGGGGAGCACTTTTAATAAGTGCTCTTTTTAATTTTACTAAAAGTATCTTTCATTATCTATATTTTAACCACTTTAAGCATTTAAATTTAGTCTCAGTCCTGACTCTGTGAAGACTACAGGCAGCAGTGGATGAAATACCCAGATTCTTAAGTAAAAGTAGAAGTACCACAGTATTAAAATATTCAGTTAAAAGGGAAAGTCCTTCATAAAAATGTTGAGTTAAAGTACCAAAATACTGGCATCAAAATATACTTAAAGTACTCGTTATTCTCATTATTATAAAGTACTCATTAGATCTAAGTCTAATATTACAGTACAGTAATGGCTGTTTTCGGTTTTCACCAACTCCTGAGGGAAATAACTGGCTCTTCAGTTGCTTAATGCTCCACTACTGTACAGTATGTTCACTAGCCAGTGGTTACTTTTGTCTGTCTGCTGCTTGGTGCAGAGCAGGCAATGTACGGTCTGTTTTTAGGTTCTTTGCTTTGCTGTGTTTAAAAAAAAAAGTGCTATGCTTAAAATCACTATGAAGCTCCACAGAACCGAGGGCACCTGTTGAGTTCATTACAGCAGGTTTGTCACTGAGGAAAACCTTTCTCATGCAATTAGTCATGTGATCTATTGTTAGTATAAAGATTGTGGTTATAGCCGCTACAGTAAAACTTTTACACATCATGGCATGCTAATTCAGCTACTGTATCAGTAGGTGAAGTGTCGTCTATTCTTAGTGAATTCTACAAATGTACAGAACAGAAGAGCCTGAAATGAAACTCAGAGCAATCATTTATCAGGTCTCCTGTGCACTGTCTTAACCACAAAATGCACCATGGGACAGAATCTGTATTTGTCTGAGCTGCTGATCTCCCTATGAGTACAGCAGCTGTCAAGGTCCTTACATAAAGTAGACGGATCAGGCGATAGTGGAAAGAGAAAAGAATAATAAGCAAGGAATGAGAAGAAGGACAAGGACGAGTGGCTGATGTCTCTCTCCTTGAAACATTTGCCAGCCTATATACAGTTCCTGAAAAGGGGAAGATGAGGCAAAAAAATGGAGAGTGAGCAAAAGCAAAAATAACAATAAAGGAGGTGACAGGGACAGTGACAGGGAGTCTGTTTAATTGCTTCGACAGCCTTACCAAGCTGGGTTTAAAAAAAGGAGCTGAGAGAAGAGGAGAAACTGAGATGCTGATGGGGACAGAACAAGGCCCAGTAATCTTCCAGAGAAGCTCCTGTTATCTGCCATGCTGTCTCAGAGTTGAGAGCCCGATCCCCGGGGTACAGCTTGTGCCTCTCCTCTGACACACACATGCGCACACAGGAAACTCACAACTACACGCCAGAGGAGAGCGGCTTGGAGAGAGACGAGCTAATCTGACAAGCACAGAGGTACACATGCAACCATGCAGGCAGACAGGCAGGCAGGTAGGCAGGCAGGTAGACAGGC